CTCGCTCCTCCTCCTCCTCCTCCTCCTCCTCCTCCTCCTCCTCCTCCTCCTCCTCCTCCTCCGCCTCGATGGAGGAAAATCTGTCGATACCACCATCTTGCCTCGCTGTCGCCCTTTTCGGCCTTCCGGGAGGCCCTCACCGCCACGGTCGGATTCGCCCTGACACCCTGGCCAGAACGCACCCCAGGAGAGGTCTGTGGAGTAGCGGCAGCGTTACCTTGTGGTCCCTGCAGGAGCTCGCCTGCGACGTTTGGCGCCCCACGTGGCAGCGGCGCCTCCCCGCCAGGCCGGCGCCGCCGCCGCTGCACTCCTCTGCGGAGCGGCGCGTCGTCGCGGCGCGCGCGCTCGTGCAAGCGCTCGAGGGGGCCTGCGGCTGGCTGCGGCTGAACGGCCACTTCCTGCGCCTTCACGACGGGGGCCTGCACAACCGGAAAGGCAGGGCCGTGGCGGTGGGGACCCTCCGCTTCCACGTGCGCGGCCTGCCCACGGCGAGGCGTGCCAAGTGGGTGATGCCGCTCATCCTGGCCATCGTCCCCCTGCTGAAGGATCGCGGTCATGACGTGTTCATCCAGACCAGGGAACTGTTCGCCACAATGGAGGACGGCGCGCTCATCAAGATCGAACTGTGCGCGAGTCGGTTCGAATGAGTCCCCGAGGAATTGAACGCGGCGATGTGGAGCATTGCTGCCCTCCTCCTCTCACGCAAAGAAGGCTATGTTGCATCCACTTGCGCTGTTGCGCACATTCACAGCCGCTCTCCGGGATTTGGCTAGGGATGTCTGCTTCGCCGCGTGGGTGTAGTGCTGAATGGGTGTTTCGTGTGTGCCGTTTCAAAGTTCGGTGCGTGAGGTGTGCGATTTTTTGCAGGTATGGTGGGAAGGATTGGGATGATATGGGGTAGGACGACGAGGTCGAGGATGAAAGCTAGCAGGAGCAGTCAGAGATGGTGGAGCAGACAAGGGGAAACACGAGGAGGAGGAGGAGGAGGAGGAGGAGGAGGAGGAGGAGGAGGAGGACGAGGAGGGGGAGGAGGAGGAGGATAAGCGCATCTATCGAGCGCTGCACCACTGTACATTGGATGGGATGCCGCTTTGACTGCAGAAGAGAGGTCCGCGGCCGCGCTGTCGCGAGACGCGTCATTGGTGCTGCACGGTCGCTGCAGAGCCTCTTGGTGGGTTTTGTGGGTGCGTCTTGGGGCTTCTGGGGTCCCTGGCGGTCCCATCGGAGGTTGTCCCCTTCGGGAGTCTTTGGGGCAGTCTCGGTGCGACTTTTGGGGTCTTGGGACTTGGGGCCCTCTCGGGCCTGTCTTTGAGCCGACTTGTGGTGGCGATTCGCTGTAGCCTCCCAGTGGCCTCTTGCTCCTGAGGGCCCCAGCTGGGGGGCTCTTGGACTTCTTCCATGTTTTTGTTTTGCAAGCCTGTGTCATATCGGGCGTTGTAGTCTCCACCCCTCTCTCCATAACGTAAAGCCCCCCTCCCGCAGTCCCCCCCTTCCGGCACTGCCGAGGTGATCGAGAGCACCACACATCGAAGCAAGGTTCGCTCGCAGCGCCTGCGTGGTACTCGCAGGCGACTGTGGTGCTCGCAGGCTGTTGTGTCACTCGCAGACTACCATGGCGCCTGCAGGCTCTTGTGGGCGTTCACGGGCTCATAGCCCGCGCTTGCAGACATGTTGTGGCGCTCGCAGACCACTGTGGAATTTACAGGGTCTGGCATTGTTGCACGTGGCACTCGCACCTTCTCGTGGTTTCCCCCCCGCCGCCTGGTGGTTGTGGGCTCACTGTGGTGCTGACAGGCGCGTAGTGGCGTCCGCAAGCTATCATCGCTGCCGCTGCTTCCTGCGGGGCTCGGAAATCTGGAGGATTCTGTCTGGGGCTAACGACGCATATTTTCGTGTGCAAGCGTGGTCAACTGTGGCCTCCGAAAGCTCCCTGTGTCCAGGATGCGACAGTTTCAAGGACACGACAGTTTGAAGAATGACACCACCGTCGTCGACGTCGTCGTCCCAGCTGGGGGTCCAGGATGCGACAGTTTCAAGGATGACGCCGCCGTCGTCGACGTCGTCGTCCCGCTCGTCCGTCTCCGCCCTCCGTCTTTCGGCTACGCGCAAGGTGGACCCTTCGCAAGAGTAATCGCTGGTGCGGGCTCACAGAGGTCGTCTCAGCATGGGCTTGCTCGCTTGGATTTTCTCTCCCCCCGCCCCAAGGGCCCCGAGAACTGCACCGCAAAGATCACTCCTGCCCAGCCGAGGCCACTCTTGTGTGCAGCCGAGCCGAGCCTCCCGCCCATCCCGCCCTGCGCCCTCGTCCCCGCCTTGTCCTCGTCATCGTCCTCATCGTCCTCATTCCCCTCCCCCCCTACAGTATTCGTTTCCATTCTCCTCCTCGTCCTCCTCGTGCTTCGTCGTCGTCTTCCTGGTCCACGTCTCCGTCCTCGTACTAGTCGCTGTCCCCAGTTTCGTCCTCGTCCCCGTCGTCGCCGTCGTCGTCGTCGTCGTCATCGTCGTCGTCGTCGTTGTGGTCCTCGTGTCCTCGTCGTGCTCGCCCGCCTTCTCCTCGTACACTGGCCCTCGCCATCCTTGCCCTCGTTGTCCTCGTCCTCCCTTTCCTTTTCTCCTACTCCAGTTCTCCTCTTTATCCTCATTCCCCACCTCCTCTCTCGCAGGTGATCGCAAACTAGTTTCTGTGTTCGGGGCCATGTTGTGGCGCTCGCAGGAAGATGCGGCACTGATAGGGTCCATCAACCTGGTGCGCAAACTTGCGGTACCGTTGTGACTCTTGCATGCTATTGCAGTGCGTATTCTCAATGCAGCGCGTATGCGCTCGAAGGTTGTTCTTCTTGTGTGCTACGATCTTCTTGTGTGCTACGATGGTATTGGCAGGGTCTTGCATACTGTTGCGCACACTGTGGCTCTCGCGATGCTGTTGTGGTTGCGGCGGGGTCCGTGTGTCGCAGACGTGCACGGTGCCCGCGGGCACATCGTGGTGCGTGCAGGCATCATGGCCGATCCTTACTACCAGGCTAAGGTGCTCACGAACGCTGCGGTGGTGCCAGGGGCTACGCTGCGGGGGCGGGGGGGGGGCAGTCCCTAATGGCCCCCCGCTCCCCAACATCACGCCAGCCATGCCCACACATAGTAACACACATAGATTGGGGCCTCTTAAAAGGCTGTGCAGTGTCGCGGGGGGGGATGTGCCGTCGAGGGAGATGTTTGGGTTCTCCCGTGGACGGGAAGCAGGTGGCAGCGAAGCTCACTTGACCCAGCACCAGTTTGTTGGAAGGTCATGGCCTCGCCGCCATGGGAGAGCACCCGGGGGCGACGAGGCCACTCTTTGCATTTCCACAGGGCCTGTGTCAACTTGCATCCTCGCTGCTGGCCAAGCCACGCGGACGCGCTCCCTCGACTGTCTACGACGCGCCCCCAAGTGCGTGGCCGCGATGCGAAACAAGTGTGCGTATCGTTTGCTGGCTCCCACGGGGTTCTGCATGGTTTGCGGCCCTTTGGCGTCGCGTACTGGGGTGCAGGGCTGCAGAAAAGGGGCCCTCTTAGGGCCCCTAAAGGGGTCCAAAGGGGGCGCCTGTAAGGCCCAAGAAGTGCACCGTTCTCCCACCCACCATGTATCGCCCCCCCATCAATTGACGCCCGAGGCCCAGTACTCCCTCACGGCGCGCGTGCCGCGCAGTCCGCGCGGCGGCGGATGAGTCCTCACTTCATGCCCCAGTGCCTCTTAGAAGGTGCGCCTTTCTGCCGTACATGAGCAGGGCGTGGGCAGAGGCATCAGAGACAGCAACCGTGCAACGGGGTGACGCGCTCTTTCAGTCGCGCTCAGGGTTTCGGCGCGCTGCCGGTCGACAACGCCAGGGAGCACGGGAGCAGCCAAGCGTTCCAGACATCCGGCGCTCCGATTTTTTTGACGCGTCCCCCCCTCAGACCTCTCGCCCCCCGCGCCCGGGGCCAGCTTCTCACCCAGACCAGTGACCAGCCTCCCGACGGCCTCGCGAGGCCCTGGGGAGGCCATCGGCACGGCGGCAGGATTGGCCGCCCCGAGGCTGCTTTCTTTGTCCCAGGGTGGCGCCGGATGCCTGGGCGCCGTCCCCCGTGGGGTGTTGCAAGGGATTGCCTTGGCCCGCGAGGTGCTCCTAAACTTTCATGCCTTTGGGGTGTTGCAAGGGATTGCCTTGGTCCGCGAGGTGCTCCTAAACTTTCATGCCTTTTTGTTATGCCTCCGGGAGCCCTGTGTGTGCTGAGGGGGGACTCCTTGGAAATCCAGGGGTGACCTTGGGCCGGGGCGCCCTTGGCAACACCCGCCCCCTGGCCCGACAGGCCCGCCGCTCGCTGAGCGGTTCCAGGCCTCCCAGATGGGGTCCGAGCAGATGAGGGCAGAGGATTGCACCGCATCGCCGATGCATCGGCGAAGTGCTTCGACGCGAAGCCCGATTTCCTCCACGCTGGCGTCGCGAACGCATCGCCCGCGCCGCCGCTGCATCGGCGATGCATCGGCGATGCGGGGAGGTCTGGTCCCCACCTGCGGGGGCCTCTGCCGACAGGCCCGACGGAGGCCTCGTGTGCCCCGTGCTCTGCCGGACGGTGCCGCCGCCCCCCCCTTTGCACGGCGGGGGCCGGCCAGGAGTGCCACAGCGCACTGTCCTGGCGGCCTCCGCGCCAGGCCGTTGCGCGGGGGGGTGTAGGGGGAGGAGGTGGAAGGAGGGGAGGGGGGGAGGCAAGCCAGGTGCGCTCGCGCAGCATTTGAAGTCATGCCCCCTCCCTCCCATCTCTCACCATGGCGCAGATCTCCCCTTTTGTTCGCACAGCCGAACGCCGAGCAGCGCAGTGATCCCGAGAGGGGACAAGATTGATGGTGGAGCACGGCATAGCATGCCATAGCATGGCGTTGTGTTGCGTAGTAAAGCAGTGCATCACAACGCATTGCAACGCAAAGCATGGCATCGCACAGCGGCACAGAACACAACACCGCGCTGCATGTGATGGCATGGCACCGGGTTCCTTGGAGTTGACTGTCTTCGAGGGGTCTGGGCCGGTCTGAAGTCGCGGCTCTTTGTTCAGCTTCCTGGGCTCCCCAGAGAGGTCCCCATGAGGAGGGGCTGATAGAGAGCACCCACTGGCCTCTTACATCGCCTTTGCAAAGTAGAAACGGGGCTGCCGCCTGATACTTCCTCAAGAACGATGCAGCAGTAGCACAATTTGGAACGACCAGATGCGCAGAAATGGGGCCAGCGCTTCAACGGGAGCAACATTTTGAAGGACCGAACAGAATCGGAGTGTCAAAAACCATATTAAAACCAGACTCCAGGCAATCCTGTGTGAAAAACCAGCACGCGGAAGGGTACCGGCCATGTGGCGCACAGACTCGGGGGAGCGAGGAGAGTAGTACTCATATTGTGTGATTGTGGAGACGGACCACACCTACGCGTCCGAGCGCGCCGGAAAGGAAAAGGGGAAGGCAAGACCAGAGGGAGCAGGAGAGAGATGTGCACGAGGGGGTGAGGGGGAGCAGCTGAAGGAGATGCGGGAGTAGGGCAGGGGGGAGGGGGAGGAGGAGCTGGATAAGGAGGGCGGGAGGGAGATCGGGAACGGGAGCGAAGGAGCGAGGGGAGGAACGCAGGGGAGAGAGGAGGGGAAGAGGGAGAGCCTTGGAGGAACAGGGTGAAGGGCGAGGAAGTGGAGGCGGCGTGGGGCGAGGAGGGAGGGAGGGAGGGAGGGAACCAGGCCAGGGCTGACTGCGGCGGGCGTTGGTCCTTCCCTTCAAGTCCACCCAAAGGTGATGGACACACCAGACCCAGCTTGCACTTGCAC